TCTAATGAATGTCATTTGCTTGCATTTAATTATTATTTTACTCTATGAAATTATGCTTTTAATCTAATACTGACATTTGTTTTAAAATAATTCTTATTTCACATTTTTATTTAGTTTTTATTGTACTTTTATTTAATACATGACATTTGCTTTAGATACATTATTATTTTACAGTTTTATTTAGATTTTATTTTACTTTTAATCAAATAAATGAAGTGTTTTTGTTTAATTATTATTTCATAAATTTGTATTTAGTATGTATTGTACTTTTAATCTAATAAATGACATTTGATTTCATTAAATTATTATTCAAGTTTTTTTTTTTTTTTGGCTTTTATTGTAATTTTTGTCTTTGAAATTACATTTGTTTTAATAAAATTATTTAACTATTTTGTATAGTTTTTATTGTACTTTTAATGTAATAAACTGTATTTTGTTTTAATTTCTTTATGTTTTTACACTTTTTATTTGGAATTTAATGTACTTTAAATCTAATAAATGACACTTGGTTAAATTTATTTTATTATTTAAAAATTTGAATTAAGTTTTATTGTACTTTTAATCTAATAAATGCACCTTTTATTATCAAAAACACATATTTATTACTATGATTATGATTATGATTATGATGATGATGATTATTATTATAATTATTATTATTATTATTATTATTATTATTATTATTGTTAAATTTCTAAAAAAATATTATTATTTTTATTAAATTAAAAAAAATATATTATTATTAATTTTTTCTTTAAAATTTTTATTGAACTTTGATTCTAATAAATGCTGCTTTGTTGAGCGAAAAAACCTTAAAGATGTTTAAAAACACTTTTGGATTAGTCTGGTATTAAAAAACCAAACAAAGAGTTATTATTGTTGATATTAATATTAATTTTAATACATTTCTATAAACAATTATTATTATTATTATTATTATTATTATTATTATTATTATTATTATTATAAAAATATTTATTTATTATTATTACATTTTATTTCTTTTTTATTGCACTAATAAATGCTGTATTAATGAGCAAAAACACTTTTGGAATAGTCTGGTATTTGGGAAAAACAAACGAATAGTATACAATCCTTTGACATGCATTAATAGTAAAGCCATTTAAATGTATTCTCCATGTATAGTCATTCCCATCTTGGAAAAACATTTAAGCTATTACAGAGATCTCATTTATCATGTTAATTTTCCATGCAGAAAAAAAAAACAACAAAAAAAAAACATCTCTAAGCCACAGTAATATTCAGAAACACCCCTGACCAACCGATTCAAGATAATAAAAGCACACGTAATGTTTGACGAAACTCAAATATGATTGAACTTTAATATGAGAAACGTACAACAATGAACACAGAGCCTTATAACCTCTATTTCCCTATTATTCATGCAGAGATACGGGCCTGTTCATAAATTGCACAATTTCTCACTCATTACATTTACACGCACACAAGACGCAATCACAAATTAAAATCGCACAAAGGCCTGAAAATATTCTCAGAAGTCGATATGTATGGGAAAATAAGCGTCTGCTCTGTGTATAATGGTCTGATATGAGTTTCCACATTCAGTGCTAGTGGAAGGAAAGAGGTCTTGTTATCATCAGCGCACTCCTGTTTATGGTTTCTGCTCGGCGCGAGCGGCTAATGATTCCTCGCCAGAGTCAGAGTTGATTTTAAATGTGTCATTAGGCTGTAGTTTTGGCATTTTCTCCATGCATTTTGTTCTGCACGTGCCAGAATCACTTTGGCGGTGGTTTTAGTAGGCGCTGCAGTGTTGACCCTGTGTGGCAGTAGGTTTAATCTAGCAGGTGTTGGGAGATTTTTTTTTTTTTTTCTGGTTAAGTTGCAATGGGAAGGCCGGTTTAATGCTGAGCTGGACAGATGGTGCGGATGGACAGGTGCAGAATGCAAACTGGACAGATTGACTGGAGCCATGCCATTTATACTGTAAAAATGTAATTCGTTTGCAGGTGGGTTGTTAAAGCAAGTTGGTGCTCATGGGAATCTGGTGGAAAACAACAACAACAACCCAACAAAAAAGCAGTGATTTGGACATTTAAACGCTGTTGTTTCTGTAATATGTAATATAAACTATTGAAATAATTTTTTAAATTAAAATAGTACTAAAATAATTAAAAAATTGACAAAAATGTGTACAAATAAAATAAATAAAAATAAAATTATTATTACTGTTATTATTATTATTATTATTATTATTATTATTATTATTATTATTATTATTAATCCTATTATTATACTATAAAGCTATTCAAATATGTAATATGTGGAACTTATAAAAAAATTAAATTTTATTTTTAAGTTAAAAAATAAATAAAGATCTAATAAAATAAATTATTTCTAAACAAAATAAATTGTAAAAGTATTTCACTTTAGCTCTTCCAGAAAATCCAGGTTCTCTCTCTCTCTAAAAAAAAGCCTTCACACTATGGAAGTAATATGCTTTCTCATGCTGAGCTGAACTTGGTTTCGACTTTTCTCCCCACAGGCAAACTATATAAAACATCACGTCGAACATATTATAATATAATGTACCCTGTCAAGCACCAAGCCTCAAAAATACATGGCAAATCCGTTTTCACACTGACATTCTGACAACTTTCCTACATGTTCACAGTAAAAAAGCTCATCTAACTGCAAAAAAAAAAAAAAAAAAAAAAAACGAAAGAAAAGAAAACACAAGCTCAGAGGAAGTTTAAAGATGGGTTATTTGTTTATTTTCCATGTATTTAGGAGAGTAGAAATTCATAAATTTTCTTTAGCTTAGTCTCTGATTCATCAGGGTTCGCCACCGCGGAATGAACTGACAACTATTCCATTTGGTATTACATAAAAGTGGCCAACTTAAGCTTTTAAATAAAAAGTAAAACATAATAAATTAATGTGAAATAAATAATAATTTTTTTGTATAGTTACACTGAAGGGCATTTCAGAAATCTCTTCTGTAAACCTCAATTAAAATGGACGATAGTACTGTTGCACCTGGAAAATATATACAATAGTAATAATAATAATAAATTTTTATTTATTTGGCACCTTTCTAGAGCTCAAGGACAGTTTACAAAGAATGTAGCAAAAAGCGATACGAGAAGACATGGAAAGAAACAGTACTCAAATAAAGTCAACATTATAGGTTCACAAACATACAGGAAGTCAAATATAACTGGAAATACATAACAAGACCTGGGGGACAAATATGCAGAGCACAGGTGATCAAACAAAGTGGTCAGTTTATCAAATCAGAAGTGTAACATTCAGAAAACAAGTGCGTTTTGAGTAAAGATATATATATATATATAGATATATATATATATATATATATATATATATATATATATATATATATATATATATATATATATTTAACAGAGCGGGAAAATTTTCACAGTACGTCTGATGATATTTTTTCTTCTGGAAAAAGTCTTAATTGTTTCATTTCAGCTAAAATAAAAGCAGTTTTTAATTTTTTAAAGCCATTTTAAGGTCAAATTATTTAACCTAATTAATCTAGTTAAGCCCTTAAATGTCACTTTAGCTGTATAGAAGAGTCTTGATAAATGTCTAGTCAAATATTATTTACTGTCATCATGGAAAAGATCAAATAAATCAGTTATTAGAGATGTGTTATTAAAAATATTTACTGCTGAAATGTGTTGAAAAACATCTCCATTAATTCTGACTATATATGTATGTATGTATGTATGTATGTATGTATGTATATATATATATATATAATTTTCTTTTTCTTTATAAATTCTTACAGTATTTCTTATTAGAATTTTCTTTTTTTATCTGACTAGTTTTAGTTTGGCTGGAATAAAACAGTTTTTAAAAACATTTTTAGAATAAATATTATCATTAAACATATACATAATTACAAAAAAAATATTAATAAATAAAAAAATAAATAAATATATATTTATAATATATATATATATATACACACACACACACACACACACACACACACACACACACACACACACACACACACACACACACACATATGTTAAATGATGATTTTTATCTTAAAAATGTTTTTAAAAACTGCTTTTATTATGACTCTCCGACTCTTTTCACTGTCCCCTGCCACCACCCTCCGCCGTCCATCGCCCCACCAAACCCCAACCCAACCCACCAAACACGCACACACACACTTTCCACTTTCATGCGCGACACCTCTACATCCTTGGGAAACATGCTGGATCTGTTACCTCAATCTGTTCCGGGACCTCGCAGTACACAAATTAAGCACTGTATATATATATATATATATATATATATATATATATTTATTGAATTTTTTTTTGAATATTCATTCTTTCATTCCTTCATTTACCTTCGGCTTAGTCACTTTTTTATCAGGGATCGCGACAGCAGAATGAACCAACAACTATTCCTGCATATGTTTTACGCAGCGGATGCCCTTCCACTGCAATTCAGTTCTGGGAAACATCTACAGTATACACACTCATTCACACACACACTCACGCACTATGTCCAATTTAGTTTCTTCAATTCACCTACAGTATAGAGCATGTGTTTGGACTGTGGGGGGAAACTAGAGGAGGAAAACACACGCATGCAAACTCCACACAGAAATGCCAACTAACCCAGTCACGGCTTGAACAGGTGACCTTCTTGCTGGCGATTGTGCTGCCCACGGCTCCACTGTGATGCCCACTGATTAGCATATTCTTCATTATTATTTTTGGAGTTAGAACAAAATCAAATAACATCTTTAAAGAGTTGTTTCACTGATGACGATGTATTGAAGTAATGCTGTAAATTCAGTTTAAAGCCGGCTCTCAATCATCCATCTGCCGCTTTGACGTAATTAAAGATGTCAGATCCAGTGGTGCAGCGCACCATTAATTCTGTCGGCGCTTTGGGAACGGAGCGACGGCGTAATGAAGCGTGTTTGATTAGCGGTGTGTGAAAGATGTCCTTTTCTCGTCCCCCAGGTGAGCATCTGCGGGTCTGTGCTCAAGGATACACCTGCTGTACTTCAGACATAGAGGATCAGCTCGGACAGCAGAGCAAGCTGGACTTCGAGAGGCTGGTGGACGACAGCAGCAGGAACATACGCACAACATTCACCTCCAGACACAAAAAGTTTGACGGTGAGTGGAAAGCGGTTCGCTTTAAAATCTGGGGCCAACTGTGGCCAACTAATTTTCAGAGGAAGTTGCTGAAGGTGGAACCAGAGGTGATTTTTGGCTTTCGGAGGCCTGGGAAAAAGTTAATCGAGTTTTGTGTGCAAAAGGCGAATAGGGTATATGCCGAAGCATGCTAGTAGGACTTTTAATTTGCCAGTAACCTGGGTTAAGTGCTTCCGACGAATTGAATGCCAATGCATAAACCGGTGCGTTTAAGGTCTGTTTTCTTTAAAAATCAGCGATCTCCACTAGCTGAGTGTTGTCCGATTTACAGTGGGCCTCAGATTATGCAAGATTATGCAAGCCCTGCATTACATTACATTTTCCACCTCCATGTCTTTATAATATGACCATTTATTTTACTCCAGTATATTCAATGGAGCTTCTGCGCTAGCCTGCCGATTCTGACGGGAGCATGCGAGTAAACAGCTTTTTCTCCCATTTTATGCTTGAGCAACTAAATAATTTTCAAAGTTTATTTAACTGGATGTATTTTAATAAAATTACAACATCGATCCTGTAAAAGGAACCGTATAAAATGGAAAAAAGTTCACAATAACTGGTCACCGGAAGTTTATCAGCATGGGAACAGCACTAGCTCGGCATATACCCCATTGAGGGGGATTGGTGTGTGTGCAGGCCTGGTGTATAGGGCGGATCGGTACAGTTTGTTGCTAAAATGAAGCTGTGATGTGATTGCATAAACCATCAAATGATAACTGCTTAATATATTGGACTTTTTATTTATTTATTAATGATTTATATGATGTTCATATGATGACAAGTGGTTCAATAAAATCTATATTTAAATTAAATGTTCCTTTGGGTTTATTTACAGCTGCGCATAATCTCCCGTCAAGTTTGTTTTTTATAGATCACACAACTGGAAGTGTCCATGTTTGCACTTCTGTTTACTCCGGGGCTTTTTGCTAATAAACAGCTGTTGGAAAAGAATAATGTGAAATAAAGATTTTGACTTTTAGTAAATGTGATATTTTGCAGTCTATGAATGAATCGTTCATTTGATTTCATTGATTTTAATGAGTTGTTTTTGATTTAGAACACTTGACGTCTTTGTGTACTGGAAAAAGTTGCTTGCTTATCAAGTAATGTTCATTTGTTGAACAAAATTATTCTGTGCCTTTGAGTCATTTGTTTTAACTGTTTCTAAAAATAAATCACAGAAAGTCAGTTCTGCTGTTGTTCAAGTAGTTTTGAATCAATTGCTTGAACCTATTCTTAAAAAAAAGGAATAATTGAGAGTGAATCATTTGATACTTTAAATTGGTTTATAAAGTTGCAGGTTTTACTGAATGAATCAGTTCTGTTGAAGGATTTTGTTGTTCTAGTGGTTTTTAATTAATTGTTTGAACCTATTCTTAAAAAAGGAATCATTGAGAGTGAACTTTTGGTAGTTAAATATGGTTTATATACTTGCTGAATGGGTTTTACTGAATGAGTATGTTCTGTTGACAGATTTTGTTGTTCTAATGGTTTTGAACCAATTGTTTGAACCGACTCTAAAGAAATGATTCATTTAGAGAGAATCTTTTAGTGGTTTGAACTGGTTTATAAACTTGCATATTTCACTGAATGAGTCAGGTCTGTTAAAGACTGCTAATCAATTGGATTTGAATCAATTGTGTGAACCAACTCTAAAAGAATCATTAAGATTTATGTTTGTTTTTGGTATTTTGCATTGGTTTATGAACTTACAAGTTTTACTGAATGAGTCAGTTTTGTTGACAAATTTGGTTGTGGTTTTGAATCAGTTGATTGAACTGATTTAATAAAAATCATTAAGAGTGAATATTTTAGTAGTTTGAACTGAAGAAGTAGTTATTTAGAGTCAGTTCTGTTGAAACATGTTTTTCTGTTGGATTTGAATCAATTGTTCAAACTAATTCTAAATAAACGAATCATTGAGAATGTATCTTTTACTTTGGACTGATTTATAAACTTGCAAGTTTTACTGAATGAGTCAGTTCTGTTGACGAATTGTGTTGTCCTATTGATTTTGAATCTGTTGTTTGAACCAATGCTTGTGAGTTGTGAGTGAATCTTTTGTGTGTACTTTGAACTGGTTTAGAAACTTGCAGGTTTTACTAAATAAGTCAGTTCTGTTGAATGATTTTGTTGTTCGAGTGTGTTTGAATCAATAGTTTGAACCAATTCTAAAAAGAAAATGACTTCTAGAGAGCAATTCCTTTGCTACTTTGAACTGGTTTATAGACTTGTTGAATGAGTTTTACAGAAGGAGTCAGTTTTGTTGAATGATTGTGTTGTTCTAGTGGTTTTGAATCAATTTTTTTGAGTCAATACTAAAAAAAAAGAATCACTGAGAATCATTGCTGAATGAGTTTTTCTGACTGAGTCAGTTCTGTTGAATGATTTTGTTGTTCTAGTGGTTTTGAATCAATAGTTTGAACCGATTCTAAAAAGAAAATGACTCCTTGAGAGCGAATCCTTTGCTACTTTGAACTGGTGCATAGATTTGCTGAATGAGTTTTTACCTAATGAGTCAATTTTGTTGAATGATTGTGTTGTTTTAATGGCTCTGATTCAATTGTTTGAACCTATTCTAACAAAATGACTCATTGAGAGCGAATCTTTTTGTACTCTGAACTGGTTTAGAAACTTGCACATTTACTGAATTCTAAATATTTGTTTTTAGGAGTGAATATTTTGGTTTGAACTCATTCAGAATCTTTGTTGTTGTGGTGGTTTTGAATGAATGCCTATCATTTCAGAAAAAAATGAATCTTTGAGAATGAATTTGAACAAATAGATGAATATCTGTGCAACTAGTACGTGTTACTAGTGCGGTTTTGCAATGAATTATTTGTTGTTGTTTGAACTGGTTCAGAAAGTGAATCACTGAAAGCAAAATGTTATTTAAACTGGTTCAGAAAACTGAACTGCAAATGAATCTTTGTGCAGTGAAGCTAAACGATTCTGAAAGTAGCAGAAAACTATTTTTAAAACTGAATATTTATAGTTTGAATTAGGAATGAAATAACTTTTCAGTTTTTTTAGCCTGTTGATGTTTGAAAATGAACATGAATTGTAAAAGTCTGCTTCGTTTGAAGTCACTACCAGCAGAAATGATCACAGACTGTTGTATTTTGGAAAGATAAACCTGAAGATTTTAGATCAAAACTTTCTGAAATCACTTTGATCTGTGAACTTGCGATCTGCTCCTATGGTCTCTGAATTATTCCTTATGTAATCGTTTGCATTAGAGCTGTTTAGTATCTGCTTCTTAACCTTTTGTTATGGTTTGCTTCAGGGGGTTCAGCTCTTAATTAGACGGGTCAGACTCTCCAAACCGCCACTGTAATGGGCTGGAAGAGCTGCTCCTTACAGCGCACACTAATTATACAGTTTTTGAAATGTCATAATGAAGGCGTACAGTGCAGAGCAGGACTGCATATTCACAGGTTATGTAAAGGTTAATTTCAGAGCTCTGGATTTGCATGTAGTGCGAACAGAAACGATGACGTGTGGTGTAAATGAACTTTGCCGTGTCCTTAGAAGACCCAGGGTGGTTTCATTTACTTTTTTTATTTTGTATAAATGTGTTGCTTTATTAATGAATCGAGAGAGTGATTAACTAGCAAATTAACCCAGCAGACACCCAATGTCATAAGACATTAATTTTAGGTTAGATTTAAGTCGTCAGCATCTAAGAACAATGTTATTTTGACGTCCAATAACAATGTGAAATGGCGTTGATTTTTTTTTTTTTTCCATATCATCAGCTGCACGTGTGCTGTGATGAGTGAAAAGCTTAGGTGCTGGCTCCAGACAGTACAAAATACAGACAGAGCAAATACAATGACAGTGCAAAATACAACGACAGTACAAAATACTACAGTATACCCCCCCCCCCCCCCCAAAAAAAAAAAAAAAAAAAAACAAAAACAAAAAACAGGACAATGTGAAATTGACAGCGATATGTACAATGAATAGGTGTCCACGTAGTTGTAGGCAGTATTGTTCCAAGTATGGATTGGTTAAAGTGCAGTGCATGCTACATATTGATGGTGTGCAGTGAGGGGTATGGAAGAGTTTGTGTGGGGTGGGTTAAGTGTTCATCAGCCTGATAGTCTGAGGGAAGAAACTTTCCTTCAGTCGGCTGGTGCGTGACCGGATGCTGCGGAACCGTCTGCCTGAGGGTAGCAGAGAGAAAAGTCTATGGCTTGGGTGGCTGGAGTCGCTAATGATTCTCTTGGCATTCCTCATTTACCGCCTGGTGTAAATGTCCTGGAAGGAGGGAAGCTCACCTCCTACTACGAGTCCAGCAGTTCGCACTATCGTTTGTAGGCCTTTGCGATTGCTGCTGGTGCTATTTCCATACCAGGTGATGATACAGCCAGACAGGATGCTCTCCACAGTGAAGGTGTAGAATGAGCGGAGGATGTGGGGGCTTGTTAAGAAGAGGCGTTGTTGTGCCTTCCTCAGCACTGAGTCTGTGTGAGCAGTCCATGTCTTTGGGATGTGTTGTAAAGTGACTAAAATCCAACATCTAGCAACCAAAATCAACCAAATCAACATCTTAAACCAATGTCATATTGACATCAAATACTGATATTTATTCATCACGCATGGCAACCAAAATCCAACGTCTGATAGATGTCATACAGGTAACGTCCACACAACGTCAAGCTGTAACATCATTAGACATTGATATTTTGTTATTTTTAAGTTGCGTTCGAAAGTACCCAAACTGCAACATCTGTCAGACGTTGGACATTGATGTCGGCCTGACGTCAACCCAATTTTCATTTCCTAAGAAAATGCAATGCCCCACGACATTGTGGTACAACGTCAATCTGCACTGAAACAATGATTTGTGCTGCTTGTTCAAACTACTTATAAATAATGAGCTAAAACAACACAATTTGAGTTTTTTTTGGGGAACAACCTAATTGTTTTATGTTCATTTGACTTAAATTTGTCAA